AAAAATTTCCGTCAAATGGTACTGGTATATTTTTTGGCACCGAAAACAGGAACGGGATTGAGTTGTATCATTTACAAATACCTGTAAATTTTTCGCTTTCTCTCAGCTTGAAGCCTGGCACTGGTAATCCAGACAACTTCTACAGAAAATTTAAGTCGTTTGGGTAAAAACGGGAAAAAGGTAATACCTCGAAGGGTATTATTTACTTTTTTCCGGAAAATTTCCACCGGGATGAATCGTTCCATTTGAATTCTCCACGAAATTTCCGGGTTTTCCATACAAATCCAAGCGCTCAATTTCTCTGCCATATATTTACTCCTTAGAGTTTACATATATTTGCCATGTTTGCAAGGAGCAAATATGAGTAAATCCATTTTTTCGACCAGTGTTTATAGGCTTCCGAAAAGCTCTGGAACAGGACGCCATGTCCTCTTCGGTTAGTGTCGTTCGTAGAAGAAAAGTTCCAAGCGCGTTTGATTCTCTTGCAAGAGTTCAATAAACTCTCAGCACGTGTTTTGTCAGGTCTAAAATCACTCGCCTTCGGCTCGTGATTTTAAACCCGATAAAACACTACTGCTCGTGTATTAAACATTACGTAAATACAGAGGACCCATTCTTATTCAGTGAGATGCAGTTCGTTGTTGGCCGGCGCTGTGTCACCAAATTTAAAAATAAAAATAACCACTGAATATGGAGAATGCATAGATGAAGAGTACAAAGGTTAGGCGCGAATCGACAAGTTAGCAAACGCTATTAGAACCTGTTCCACCTCGCTGCATTATTCCAAGAAAAGTCTTGTCAAGTCTCAAACTGGAATCGGCTGACATGTTACACCAAATTCGCTGGCAATCTTCTCGGCAATTTCTAGAGTGCCCCATTCTAGCTTACGACCTTGTTTTATCTCACGTCCGACTTGGTTATAATGACGTTCTAAAACTTGCAAACAAGTTTGGGTGATGTTACCCTTGCATGGGTGATTTCTATTACCCACCTGAAGATCGTGGACAAAAAAAATTAAATTATCACTTGGCAAAAAGGTACGATTAGAGCATATATCCAAAATATTTCCTGCTGCTTTGTGAGATAAACAGTAACTAGCTAGGGCATTTTTGCTGAATTCAGGACCAGCCCAACCATGATAACCTGTCTGAGGCTCGGTAAGAACATCTTGTACATGTTCTAGTTCAATGGTTTGGCCACATGGAAACCTTTTGTTATATTCTGCTAGGTCGTTGCAGATTTTAAAATTCCAGTCGTAGCGATCTCTCTCAAAGTAAAATGCATAACTGAGTATAACGCTAACTGGAGAGATAAGGCCCTTGTAAAACATTCTGAAGGCCTCTTCAAAATTATTTGTGTTTAAGTGTTTCAGGATATGCTCTCTGCAATGAGTGACAGTGTCCCGGTACATATATACCGGAAAATAAGTCATAAAATCAGCGACAAATGGTACTCCTAGTGCCAGTTGTGAAGTATGTGCCCAGCTATGTACCCAGCTCCTACCGGGGTCCTGTAATGTACAGCCTGTGCCTAAGACTCGTACCTTTGTCCCATTAAAAATTGTGGATTTTGTTACTGGGGTAAAAAAGGCTGAGTCACTGTCCATCCACGCAATGACAGTGTCATTTGAAAGCAAGTCGATGAAGAAACTGCTCCAAAGCTGTCTGTTGTAACCGGCTGGTTTAGGCGAGCCTTGAAACGCTAGCGTATCTTGTCTTTTTGGAAGAGGCTCATAAAAGAATTCAAGTTTACGATCAGGAAAGTATTTATGAGCTTGGGTTTTTAACTTTTCGGCAAATTCATGATCCTCTTGTGATTCCTCATCAAGTGCTATGACAAAATTTCCAAACGAAGGAGGCCAGAATAGAACGGCAGTCCTGAACACGTTACACACATAACGTTCCCTGTGATCTGTTCGTTTGCCAGACATTCTCACAAACAGACTTATTGAGGTGTCTGGGGTCTCTTTTGTTGTCCTTGGGGTCTCCATCGTTGCCATCCCTTCGCTTGCCACGAGTCTTTCGCGGGTTTTTAGGCTGTGGTAGAGAGATGGATTTATTGGGATCATATGTGTTTTGAGAATTATCATAACCGAGAGGGAAATAAGGAGGCAGGCGAGAACTAATGTTCTAGTCCTTTTCAAAACCATGGTCTAGGCAGTTGTAGAGATTTCTTCGTATGGATACCGTATCCTACAAAAGAGAATAGAAAATAGATTAAACTTGTGGGTCTAACGCCTGACGCACCCGGTGAGTGCTGTCACGTTGAGCGTCACGTCTTTAATTTTTAATTTTGTCCTCTCGTATCTTAATTTACGTTTAGAAATAGCCGAAGTTCAATTTAAGCCTTGCACCCGTCATAAATACAGTACTGGAATAAGACTGTGATAGTTCTTGTGATAAGTAATGGTAACAGGACTGAGTGGAGTCCAATTGGGTCTGTAATCATACGAGCGATTAACAAAATCGGACGACCGCGAAACGGGAGTCCGATTTGTTTAATCATGAGTATGATTACAGAGCGAATTGGACGACACGAAGTTCTGTTACCAATTAATCATAACTTTAACAAAATTTGTGATATATATAAGCCTCTTTCTTTAAATCAAGACACACAAGAAATTCCAAGGCCCCTTTTTTTGCCAGCAGTGAAAAAAAAAGCTATTTAAGGGCGCGGGTGATGGCGCGTACTGTCCAATTACTTAGACATGACGCGTAGTGTCCTATTAAGGCTAAAATCAGTGCAGTTGATAGCCAATCAGATTTGAGAATTTTGATTATTTATGTAATTACTGTTAAATTCTGACCATTCTTTGAAAACCCTGAAAATTCCCGGAAACTTGTTCTTTTTTTGGAATATCTACCTTTAAAATGTTCCTGTTCCCGGGAATTGGCGAGAATTCCCAGAATCAAAAAGGAAACCATTTCATTCTCAAGAATTCCCGAGAATTTTTAGCCCGTTTCTATTCCAATGTAATCCCGAGAATTTTCAGGAACTTGGGGGGTTGGTGCAAATAAACGCGGAAGAATTTTCCCGGAATGATTCTCGGAAATTCTCGAGAAATCCCAGGATTTTCTTGAGACAGTTCGAACTGTTTGCAGTACAATCTGGTACAAGTTGTTTTTTATGAAATAAAGGTTGCAAATTGTAAGCAATATGCACATTCATTAGGAGTTTAGCGTAAACGTGTTAAATACGAAATTTAAGACTTGTTTTCAATCTTCCAACCTCGTCCCCAGGGTCTTCTCGCTTTCCAATATGGCGGCGGCAGGAGAGAAGACCCTGGCACACAGCGAACTAAAACGATCGCTGATTGGTGCATTCTGTTGTGCGTTCATACGTACGCTCTCATTGGTTTATTCATCCCAAAACAAAGATGGTTATCCTTTGAGGGTTTCGTAGAAGCTGAGAAATGCTTTCTTCAGTGTTTGAGACCGAAATGGTGGACAGAATTCAGGTCTGATTGTTCGGAAAACTGTGACTGTACCGTTGGAAGGCAAAGATTCGAAGATAGTGATATCTGAAATGGTAATCGCTGGGAATATTATAAGGCGTAGAGGTATTGCTTGTGTTATTTGGTTTGTGTGTTCGATTCTAAATTACTAAAGATTTGTTTCTTTGATTCCCGATATGTGAATGAATACTTGCAAGGCTTCAGCTTATCAATAAATTTAGCTGCCCGTTTGCAAAGGTTTAGTATTGTTCTGCCTTTTGTTTTCTTTGAACAATAGCTGTATGCATAATATTATTAATGTATGGGGTTACACGGAAATCTTGCATAATCTGTGCTTTGTCTCAGCAGTTTTTTGTCGAGTGAAACATTTTTTTTCATTTGATCGTAACATGCATGGGCCTAACCTGGCCTTCTTTTGATGTTTTCCACGGTGATTTTGAAGGGGGATGAGGAGTGAGAGATGCAGATGTCGAAACAAAACTAAAAATTGAAGCCAAACATAGTGTCGATATCCTTTGATATTTTTAATCCTGATTCATTTATTCAGTTTTCAGTGTCACAATGATGATAATTTATTATTATTTGCTCATTTCATTGACAGTAGAATACAGCTAAATACAGAGACATTGGGAAAATAAACTGTTTCCTTTTCTCAGAAATGAAAAACTTTCATATTAAATTATGTTTGAAGCTTGTGGGATTTCTTTCTAGTTGCAAAAATAAAATAATGAAAGCACATGATGTCTTTTCATTTTATCAAGTTGAAAACAGTGATCAGCCCATGCAAGGAAATCTGACAGTCTTGGATTCTCAATTCTACACCAATTTGATACTGCATTCTGGACTCTTTGTCAGTCGAACTTGGATTCCGGATTCCAATTATAAGTGGGATCTAGAGTACTTGACCTTTATTCCAGATTCCAAGAGAAAAATTTCCCAGATTCCGGATTCCCTTACATAGGGTGACAGTGATCCTAAGATAAATACGTTTTCTGTCAAACCAAAACCTGTTAATTGAGCTTCTAATTACTGTAGGCTAAGTGTACATGTTGTTCTTGTTACTGTATGCTTGAAAAGGGGGTTTGTGGACCAGGTGAAATATTGGCTGGCATTATAGTATTCCAAAACCAGCTGGGTATGATTATGAAGCAGCTATAATTCAGTTCTAAAACTTCGATTTAAAAAAATAAACTGCTTCAAAGGGTGCATATATCACTATCCACTGAATAAACAAGAGTGGAAGGGGCCTGCAGCGTCTTGATCATGGGATTTTTCATGTAGGGATGTAAGGCTTTTGAAGTGTTGTGCGCCAGAGTCCCCAGTAGCATAGTGAGCTTTTAGTTGCCTAGTCACGGCCAATGAGTTTCACGTCACGTGGTCCCAAGTGAAACAGTGAAACAGTTTCCCTCCAGTTTGCCTAAGATACATCACCGAAATGAATTGACCAAGAAGGCCTGGGAAAATGCCACACAGGGACAAGGCAAGGCTTTTAGCTTGTTTAGGTGTTGGGCTGTGAGGTGGCAGCTGTTAGATGTGCTGGCTTAAATACTTCCAAAGTCTACTTTAAGGTGTTGGTTAGTCTTAGTCATAGTGTCTGTATCATAATCATATCATCAGAAATAATCAGATTAACCCAACTATTAAACTGATAATTGATTATAGTAGATTATAGATTTGTGACCCCTGTGTGCCACTTTCAACACTGAAAATAATTTTGTAAGTGAACAAAACAAAAAACCTACCCTGCAAGCCGATGCTTATCTGTCACATAGTTTTAAAAACCAACTAAACATCATATAAACTACATTAAGAGCCCATCAAGGAGACAACACAGGTGTATTCATGTCCTTATTTGTCAACAATGTTTTTGCGAATTTTCCACAACAATCAATTGAACATTTGTATAAGCAATACTCACTTTGCTTTAGGTTTCTGATCAATGATAGATTATGAGCGATAATCAGCACACCACTACCAAGTCATGTCTCAATTAGAGTACGAAATGGCCCATCTGACGAGCAAAGCATGTTTGACTTAAAGGATCTAATATCTCCAAATCAGATAGGAACTTTTACAGTGCACATGACTCAGATAGGACAATCAAATTTTTGAACAACTGGAGACTAGCCTTTAGTCAATTTGCACATTGCAATGGCAAAGTGCAGCCCCAAGTAATATGTAAAATAACCCAAAAGTCATGAGGGATTAAGAAAGTTTTTGCTCTAAAAATCAAATCTACTTCAAAGCGGAAAATACATTTTGGATTGCTATATTACAAACAATGGAAACACTCTTCACCTTTTGCTAGCTATTGAAGAGGGGTTAATACTTTTTTTTTACATCTGAGACGCAAAAAAAACAATAATAACAGCATCTTAAATCCTCTATTAAGGCTCCCTCTCTCAAATAAGCCCTCCTTTTCAGTGGATGAAAGTTTTAACAATAAGTCCCCCCCTCTTTTAACCCCCATTCCCCCCCCCCCCCCTTTTCTTATTCTTCACTAATAAATAAAAGACTATCAATCAATGACAACTGTAAAACTTGACTGATCCAGGATGGTTTATTCACCAGCTGGAAGTTCGGATTTGTTTTTGATCCTCAGCTGCTTGACCTCCAACCTTCTTGTACTTGGGCTTTTTCACTTGGCATTTTTTTTTTGTGGGGAACTGATGACAGCGTCTTTGCTAGATTAAATAAATATTGCCCGGAAGCATTGTGAACAGGGTTAGATATCAAACGCCAATAAGAAAGTCTAGAAACTGTAAAGTAGATGAAGGATGACAGTAATTTTATTACCTGTACCAGATCAAGTGACAAAATATCCAAACTGAACAAGGAACTGTTTAATTTTCAACCAAAGTTTCCTCAAATTCATATTAACAAAATAGTGTTCTCTGGTTCTTGTTTTCAGGAAAAAAATCAGAGTTCAGTTAAAATGTGTACAGATAGAAAAACAATATTCAAAAACCTCACGAAGATCTGTAACAAAACTGACATAACTTATCGTAGAATTCGGTAAAGTGTCTGCGACTCAATTTAATGCCTTGTTGAATTTCGGAGCGGAAGAGGTCTTAGGGCGTCATGGACGTCATGACAAAAAATTTCCTGGCTTCAGAGGTGTGTTCTCGAAATTCCTAAGATTAAATAAATTGCCCTCACGGTTAGAAAAAGCTCCCCCTTTCACGAAAGAAGAAAACTGAACCTCTGGCACTCAGGGTAGGTAAAAAAAGAAAACAGAGAAAAAAGACCGCTATCGAGAAATTATTAAAGTTGTAGACAGTTGTTAAGTGCCGTGTACGCTAGAACGTTCAGGCTTAAAATAAATGAAGGTCATTGAACAGAAAATAAGATCGCTATATCATTCTACCGTATTCCTGTGGCTTTTAAGTGCATTCTTTCATATTTTTAGCTTCTCTTGCGTTTGCCTTTGCCGCCATTTTGTTTCTTTTCCTTCAGTCTCAAGACCTCGTACCCAGATCCTCTCAGTCTTTATCTTGGCCGCCATTTTGAATAAATTTCCACTCTCCGTGGACAAATCAGTCACGTGATTTCTGCTGTGTGCCAGGGTCTTCTCTCCCGCCGCCGCCATATTGGAAAGCGAGAAGACCCTGGGGACGAGGTTGTCAATCTTCAATTCCTGTTGACATCGCAACAATCCAAATAACCATTTTTAGCTGATACATATGTCTTGTTTTTTTAATAAATTAAGTATAGTATGAACGAAATTATTGTTTTTGTATGGATTTGTTACGTGTTAAACAGTAAAAATGGAAGCGATGAAAAATGTTCGTAGTGAGCATGTTTTGACTTGAAATTATTAAAAGGAATTAATTATTTGGTGTTTGGGATTTATTACAAAAATTCGTTCGATTCGGAAAATATCTATGGGTGAGGAAAATATCATAAAAAACAATTTGACTTACTTTACTTGGTGTTCAACTCCTACGTATCAACACTGATCAAATAACTTCCTCTCTCGAAATAAGAAAATGATTTCTGTTTATCCATTCTCCTTGGTCTTGTTGAAGGAAAATGTCGATCGAAGAGTTACTTTAGCCACTTGTGGCGTTTGCTTCGATATATGTTTTAAGTGGAGTTGTTGTAAGTGTTCTTGTTGGTTGATTTGAGTAAGCTATTGCACTACTAATAGTTTTGGTTTTTAAGTCAGTTCCTTGATTATCGATAGAAAGTTTCTCCTGACAAGAATTCGGTGCAAAGAGATGTACGAATTTGGTGGGTGTATCTTCGCAGTAACACTTCTATTCAAGAAATATGTTTAATTAGAGCCTTTGACAGATAGCAAAGCCTTGTTTATATTAACTATTTTGTTCAGTTTAACATTTTTTACCTTAATCTGGTCTTCTGTCGATATTTACCACGAAATGACTACCTTACTTGTTTTTAACAGTTTTAAGCGTGTTTCCTTGAGTTTTTAACCGAATTCATGGCAGTGGATAACTTGAACCACATTTATTGATTTTATAGGTATTTTTATGGGTAAACAAATTGTTCTAAATTCTGCCTTGTACCTTGAACTGCACTTATAATTTACCTTCTGGGTTTTGCGATCACTTCCATGGTTAATTTATGGAAAAGTTTTAGCCAACCATCTTCGATGAAGAAGCGTAGCACCTTCTGTAAATCGACAACAACCTAAGATTTTCAAACTGTAATTATAGTACTTTCCTATCTGTTGTTTTAAAAAGTTTGAGTATGACTAGATACTTTGTAGTTTTTATATTGTTCTCCTTGTTTTGTATTGACCAGTTGACTTAAGCATAATAGTGAAAACTTAGGTAGAAAAACCAGTCTGACAAATTAATTATCTCGAAGGTTTCACGTGCTAATGATTAAGACCGTTTCTACCCATAAGATTAGACTTACGAAAGTATTAGTTTACACTAAGCAGATGGTTTTCTGGCTGGTACGAAAAAAGGTGTAACACTATATTTACCGAAAACAAAAAGAGAGAATTGTAAGCTAGGAGCTTAAATGATTAAAACACCAGTGAGTCAGAACAAGTTGTTTGTTGAGAACCCAGCTAGTTCCCCCGCTAAAAGGTTCGTCATACGTTTCCCTTACGTTTCGGGCCTGGCCCCTCATCAGTGACAGTTCGTTAGAACCAGTGCAACGTTTGTAAACACCATATAATAAAAGTTACTTTTCGACTACTGCGTGAACTGGAGCAGGGCGAAAGGAATTCAGTTTCAGCCGAATCTTTTCGGTAGCCCGAAATAATCATCATCTGGCCATGGTTGTTCAAACGATGGATAGCGTTATCCACCGGATAAATCACTAACCAGTGGATAAGTATTTGGAAAACCAATCTGGTGGAAATCTTTCTGGTGGATAGTGATTTATCCGGTGGATAGCGCTATCCACCTCTTGAACAACTGGGGCCTGACTAACAAACGTGAAGCCGATAGTGCGCTTATTTTACCCACTTCTCTTCATCAGTATTCCGTTTAACGGGCCGATTTAAAGCTACATACTTATCAGCTACACGGTGAGAAAGTAAAAGGTTTATGCAAAGATCTGAGCTCTTTTGCTCCCCTTTTCTACCCTAATAAACGCGAGTTCAAGTTGAACTATAAAGCCATAAATTTACGAAATTTCAAATACACAGTTCAATCATTTAATTAATGTGGAGGCAGGTTTTAGGAACAGCATCAATGTGTGTTAGGACCGAGGAACGTTTTTCAGGTTAAGTGTTGATTTTCGGTTCTTTCAATATCTTTTTTAAAAAATGAAAAAATTTCCTTCGAATACTGAAACATAAAGGACAAGGTCCAAACTTGAAAATGATTCCTTCGATTCCTTCGGCCTTTTGAACGACTGGTTGGTATTAGCTGGGTTTTAACTTTCTTTTTTCTACTCGGGAATCGGAAAGAAGTCGGTACTCGATTAAACATCTAGATACTTTTAAAGAAAACTTACCTACAACTTATTTGCTGCTGTAAAAAAACCACGATATCCAGGCTGAACCGGAAAAAATTCTGAACTGAATCACCGCATTTTAAGTTGTTAATCCACATCGCATCACATAGCAGTATTGATTCAAGTTACGCATTGAATTTAATTATTAAATGTATTTTATTTAACGGCATGGCCCTAAAATTTTTCATCTGTTCGGATTTCCTAGCTGAAAGTCTAGTGATTACATCTGCGCAGTGACTTTCTAGTCTTTTTAGGGGTAAAAATTAGTTAAAACATCAACTGGTGGCGGAAGCAAGAAATTTTACATTCAGGCCAAAATTCTGAAAATTCTGCAAATTTCGGCTAGAAATCAAATGGAACTGTCCATTTCGGTTCGGTCCAACCGAAATATTTGGAACCACCTTTGAAGGTGGTCCACTTTGACCGGTCTGGTCATTTTGGTTGGTCGGACCGAAATTTCCCTTTCCATTTATAGTCGCAGCCTTTACACGCTTTCAGATTTCCTCACAGACACACAAGTTTTATTTCTAGACTTTATAAAAGGCGAACCGATGTGTCAAGTGAAACAAATGACACGAAGCGAACGAAGCGGCACTGAAAAACAACAATAAACGAATACACAGTTAAGCTAAAATAACTACCGGACCAAGTGACAGGGGCACCCAACGGAAAATTTTGAAAAAAAGACCTAAAAACAACAAAAACGCATGAATAAAGATGTCTGAAGCTATTTTAAACATTTTGGGAGATTGCTGGGAAAATTCATCTGTTCCTTACTCCCAGCAAGACTGATGAAGAGGTTCCCAGCCAGCAAGGGGCACCTCCAACCTGACTTACTGGGAAGTTTCCCAGCAGACGTAGGCCATAGGGCAAAATTCAGCCCTTCAGGGGGGGCGGAGGGGTTTGATAGGAAATTGGGTGTGACCTAAGGGCTACATTTACCCCTTCAGTGGGGATGGGGTCGGGGGGCAGAGGCTAAGAGACTTCTGACAGATAGCACACAGCAGCTATCCTACACATCAAATCACCTCAGACACCCACAATTTTCCAATTTCCAAGGACATTTTATTTTGTCCAAATCTCCCAGCCAGCAAAAATTTGGCTGAAGAACAGATATTTTGAGGAACAGATCCATTGGGTGCCCCTGAAGTGAAAGCAATACGGTAAAGGCGAAAGAAACAAGCGAGATACTTACAAGACGATATCGAGAAAAGACGAAACAGCAGAACGAGCTAAAAAAGCTGCATGTGCACAGAACCGAGGGCAACGAAGAACTGACGCAAAATATTAAAACAGAAGCTAGATAAACTATATGCAAAAGAAAAGACCTAACCCGAAGAACAAAGGTACGCGAACAATGAGCAACTAATGAACTGTAAAACTACACTTAAAGGCGCGAACACGAAAAAAACAAACGCGGCGAACACCATTTGACATAAGCGTTGTCCCCAGTAACGCTCTTCAACATGGCTTCAACATGGATAAAAAAACTGCATATTCCAGGGTATTCTGTTATTAGACAAGATTGCACACTGACAAGCAAGCTAAAGTGGTGGCAGTCGGAAATGTACGTACGGGATAGCTAAGATTTCTTTACATTCATTTATTATTAGCAATTTCATACTTTGTCACAAGAGAGACTTTCTTGTTCAATAGGACATGTATGCGTAATAAATCTGTACATAAGTCTGAAAGGAAATCTTGGCCGTGTATGAGTTGAACAGAGAACTAGAGTGTTATCACACCTCACTGGTTTTTTGTAGGAATGTTCAAATTAGCCTGCGTGCAGACGATAACTAAACTCTGATTAGTACCGTCTGCCAAGCAGCGCAGAGATCCTTGTTCTGGACCCCCAACGGACTCAACGAATTACCGGAAGTGCGTTTCAAATTCCCCTCCAACCTGATTGGCGATCACGACAAACAAAACAAAGGCCTTTTTTAACTGGCCAATCGTGGCGCGTACTCACATCTGGGTACACAGCTGGAAGTCCAGAACAAGGATTTCGGCGCTGTTTCGCAGACGGAGTTAACCAGAGTTTAATTTCGTCTGCGCGCAGGCTATGTTCAAATAAGCTTTCAAGTTTAACTGTTAAGCTTATAGCGGAGCTCCACCCGCGCGCGAAGCCCCATAGCTAAGGAAATGTGGTAATCTACCCATCCCAGAAAATTTGGTAATCACGTGACCGTACGACCGTCCGTCCGCACTACAGGGATACCAATGTAAAATAACTCAATCAACAGGTATGGGAACCCAAATGCAACTCAAGGTTTTATTTGTAAGGAAATCACATGGCCGAACGGACTTTTAGAAAGAAAAAAGTCGTGTCTTTTTCGGCGTTATTTTTTATGTGTACACTAACGTGGATAACAGAGAAAAAGCTAGAGCGAGTTATTGAAAATTCGTTGGAAGAAAAACATGGAAATTCAAAGCGGCGGTGAGAAAATGAGAAATGTTAGCGGCCAGCAAGGTGAAAATGAGCGGCAGTGAAAAATAAAAGCGAACATGAACACTGGATACAAAATATTGGGTAGGCACATACGACAATTTCTCCATAAAAATAGTGTGTAACTAGGAAGTTTGACGTTTTACTCGTACAAAACAGTGTTGTAGTCGTGCAAAACAACGGCAAGGGAAAGACAGAAAAGCGTGCTGCACGTGCAAATTTGCTTTTTGCTAATTAGAAGAAAAAGTGTGCTGCACGTGCAATTTGTTTTTTTGCTAATTAGATCTATTACTCTTGAAGCCATTTTCATTGTCGTCCCCCGTTTAGCGTTACACGATTTAATTTTTTTTGTTTACACGTATTATTAACCAGAGCTTCGCTTTTAGCCCTGGCTAAATCTATATATTGCAAGCTATGGATTGAGGTAATCTTAAACGGCACTTTTGGTGTATCCAGGATAAAACCTTCAAGGTCGCGGCGGACTCCTTGGGCTCATTTCCAGGTTGCTATTACGCATGCATCGCATGTATGTAGCCGGTATTCGTTTAGACTTCTACTAAAAATGTATGGAATGTACAGAACGCATTTCGATCACGCGCGTTTGGACTTTCTATCACTCGTAATTTGATCACGCGTGTTTTGATCATCTGTCACGTGAAACGTACGTAAAGCACAGCGCTGGAGCAAAAGCGCTTTGACCTTCGCACTCCGTAACCTTTGATTACTACTAGGGACCACTAGTATATGTTGAACGCAGGCGGTGTTGGACACGGTCCACGTGATCAATTTTGTCCAATCACATCATTGCAGATGGCGGACTGATTCTTTCACCTTTGTGCGGGTAGTGTCTTCGATTTTCTTCGATTTTCGCCGTTTATCAAGTGATTTACGATAATTTTTTGTGGAAAAGTTTGAGTAGACAGATGTAGCAAGCCGCAGTTCTTATAACAATATGATGTATGCTTGTTTTCTATTGATATTGTTCGTTGTAATTCTTCCTGCGAATAATCCCTTTGTTTAGTTAAGAGCTATTGTTTATGCTTTTCAGTCTATATCTTCTCTGTGTTCAACGACCTCTGACCTCCATTTTTAGCATAATCTATTAGTTTTGTTGTTCAAGAATCTGAAATGGTCGGCGGGCCCAGCGGGCCCCGCCGTTTTACGGGTCAAAATGCCACTTGAAGTTTACCTACGTGCGTGAATCGTGACTCCATTCCGCGGCATCTTTCGTATTATAAATATACTCGCGCGGTCACGATCGAACCAGCTTAGAATACTTTCACTACACGATCAGCCCAGAATACTTTCTTTCATTTCCTTTTTATTCGTCTTTAAAAATATGATATTTTTTTTTGTAATATATATGTCATGGAAGCGGCCCTTAGGCCTCTCCTTTTGAATAGTTCCTTGGCTTCTTCCTTCTGCCCTTGTCCGTAAAGAGTTAAACCTTCTGTGCGAGATTCTTCATGGTTCCTAATAAATCATACAAAAAATAACGAACAGATAAAACTGAATTCGTACGGAAAAAAATGACTAGAAAACCTCCGCTAACTTGCTGTTGTCCTCAACAACAACAAGTTAGCGGAGGAGGATGCCACATTTGCCTTGCTCTCCAGCTTCTTCTGGAAAACCAGAATAGGTTGCACATTATTTTCGATGAGAAGATCAGTATCATTCTTTCACATGTCAATGTACCTGGAAAAAAAATCTGTGGTGAGAAGAGCGCTAAAGAGAAGCTTACGTTCAAAATCAAGCACTTTAGGCACATGTAAGAACGACGTGTTGATACGTACCGCGTTGCTTCGATCCCAAAATCAATCTCTTCGACACAGAAAATAACAGTTTTGTGAAGCCAGCAGTAAACGTCGATTGCGGCCACCTTCCCGGAGAAAGATCTCAAATGAACATCGCATGTTATGTCCTTTAAAAGCGGAAGAAGACCTGTAATGTCCATATCACACTATTTCTCCCGGTAATTTTATGGCGTAACGAGAGATGTGAACAGAGCGAAGGTCAGATGCAAATGAGCCGTTTTTGATTTTTTCCCCATGATGCCCTTCGGACCGTGTCCAACACCGCCTGTGTTGAACGGAAACCAAAATCCGGAATGTGTGGCGGAACATCGAATCGGATCATGTAAGAAACTCTTGTACCATTCTATGGCTGACCCATGAGGACCCGCATACGACTTTCTTTTGCACACCACATGATGCCGGCGTTGTTAAGGATGCTAGGTTTTGAGTGACAAGCAATAAACCTCCTACTGCTAAAAGCAATTAGTTTCTTCACCGTTTGATCCAACCATCAGTGGTCAGTTATTCGCTAAAGCGTTACAATTTTTAACAAGATTAAGGCGGCATCTGGCGATAGAGTAATTTGAGAAGGGATTACAATTTAACATATGCCTGAGATTTGCGTTCTCAGCTCACGAGTTATCCAGAATAATTGCGCGTGGCCTATGACTCAAGCGTTGTCTTTCTGGTCTTTGCCAGTATTAAAATGTAGCGTACTTCCATATTGTATTGAATGTATCGAAGGTCGAGGGAATTTACATAGAATCGGACGAAGGTAAAAGCGTTGGTTCAAAATGTTGATTATGTATAACCCACAGTCCGTGAACACACAGCATACTACTCATCGTAAAGGAAAGATAGATGCCAAAGCAAATTGCAATCATTGATCTCCGAGGCTTTGTGTGTGCAGATTCAGCCAATTTTTTGGCCTGAGCTTGCTAAACTGCAGTTTCCGCAGTGAATCGCTTCACGCACCCGCTGGTGCGTTGTGCTTGTACGTTTATGGCCTCTCTCTGATGGAATCTTGTACATTCAACGCACTATAGTTAAAAATTTAACCAAAACAATGGAAATAATAATTGACTTTTTCTTTATATGGAAGAATTGTGAATTTTTGATTTGAACTCTGATCGAATAAAGCCAGCATTGCCTTCTTGAGATGACCGCGAAGGATGGTGTGTGCATCTGGGTAGGTTTAGATGACATTAGAAGAAGAAGACGGCCTTCCTGTGCCTTGAAAATGTTTCTGAGCCTAACGATATTACGATAAATGTGTAAGTGGTAATGTTTATCGGCAGTCTGGTAGGCATTTTAATGTAGAAAACGTTAGATCTTCTAATCCGACTGCATTTGTTTGGTAACTATTATGCATGATCTGCTGTCAATGATGTAAAAAGAGTGCAAACGGGCTACATAAAAAAAAATTCCTTTATTTAACGACAGGTTTGCAGAAATACTATTGTTAATAGTAACTCGGCCTAAATTCCTAAAGATGTCATAGTAGAGGCAGAAAACACAAAGACCAAGCGATCAAATGGATTCGGTCGAATAGTGCATGAAATCGTCATCCCGCCAAAACGTGTCCAAAGCCCGCCAAAAATTACCAAAGCTCGCCGCTGCCGCTATTTAACTCGTTATCCAGTCAAGAAAAAGCTATGTATTGCAGGAAAATGAAATTACTTGCACACAGAAAATCAAGGGTTAATATGTCTGATATGTTTTAGCTCGAGTAAGCGAGTGTTATTGTAATGCCATGGTGATCTAAACTCCAAAGTGAAATTTTTAAAGCAAAAGAAACACTAGGCAGGGGCACCCAACGAGAATATAGTTCAAAACCACTTAAACGTAGCATTGCTAAACGTATTTTAGTATTTAAACGGTAGATATTGGCATATTTTTATCCCCTAAAAAATTTTCATTTGTTCGGATTTCCTAACTGAAATTCTAGTGATGCGAAAATTATAAGGATCAAAACTTACCTTTTCGAAAATTCCAGCCAGGTAAAAGGCTACCGACTAGGGGTACCTTCCGGCAAGTGCCAACGAGGCGAACTCGTTTATCTTTTGTCGAATGTGCATATTCAGATCTTCGCGATATTTTTTTTCATAATTTTAGAGGTTTAAAATGGATTCCGCAAAAGAAAAGGATGACCCAAGTTCAAAACAACAACTTTGGCGTATTTAAGGCTTTCACTTTTATTAAACATTCACAACAGGGCTTGAAGCTTTGTTAGTAAATATGAGCAAGTTAGCACTTATGTTTCTTGGAAAATTCCATTGTAGCAAAACTATAAACGTTAGAAAGAAAAATATAGTTTAAATGAGGTCTTCGACTGCTGAAAATAAAAATAATAATTGAATTCCGAACAACAATGTCATCAGGGATTGGAAAAATATTTTGCGTGGTAATATACACCAGAAAAAATTGGGGTAAAGTAAAATGTGTGAAAAGCGCAAGAATGGGGCGGAATGTATCAGAGGTATAAAAATATAAACTTGAATAAAATACAAAGATCTAATGAGCGAGTGTCACAGGACAAAGAGTCTCTTGAAAGGCACAATGATAGTCTTCAAAACAAAAGGTCCGCAAATTCGTTGCATTCCTTACGGGAGTTTTGGGCTGTCTCATGTAAATCGAGCAGCAAAAAAACATGCTGGTTGACAAAATCTCTCGAAAGACATCAATAAATTCTGAAAAAAGGGTCCGCAAATACGTTGCATTGCTCACGGGAGGTGAGGACTGGCTCGATGTAAATTGACCTGAGAAGAACACGCTGGTTCTGATAGAAGTTTTGAGAATATAACCCTACGCCTTGATCAACTACCGCTTAAAATTCAATTCACAAAGGAAAAGAGAACACTGAAAACCCTGACTCTGAGTCGAAAAGCGAACACGCTACCTCAATGTAAATCAAGCTGCAAAAAACAAGCTGGTTCTGACAAAAATTTAAGCGTAAAACCCTATTCCTTGATCAGCTGCTGCTTTAAACGCAATATATAAAACAAACCAGAGCACTAATTGCCCTTTCAGACTAGAAATCGTATTAAAGCTTGCTCACCTGTTAGGTGCTCTTGAACAGAAAACGAACAGCTGCACACTGATTCACCCAATTTCGGACCACGAGTTGTAAATACAAGACCATGACGTCACCATTCAAATGTGGGGACTTACTTACACCCAGGTGAGAGCTTTGGCCTACATTCCGCGGCGTTATAATTCTGCCGCCGAGGCAACCTCGCTTCTTAGCTCGGTTGCCTCGTTGGCAAAAATTCTAGGTGTTCTTTTTAGGGAAAAATTTGTTAAAAATGGGCAATTATACCACTTTTGGCGAGAATCTTAGGAGAGGCAGGCAAGCAAGAAATTTTACAACAAATGTTCCGAAAATTCTAGATCTCAAATCGTCTTTCGAACAGATTTTTCCGAAAATTGACGTTGGGTGCCCCCGACTAGGTGGCACGCCCGTGATTCTGTGAGTCAGACACCACGGCATTATGAAATCACTTGCGCACCAAGTGGAAATATAAAGTTCAATATGTTTTAGCTTGAGTAAGCGAGTGTTATTGTAATGCCATGGTGATCTAAACTCCTAAGTGTGATTTTTAAAGCAACAGAAACACTAGGTAACGCCCGTGATTCTGTGAGTTAGAAATCACGCTGTAACGAAATCACTAGCGCACAGAAGAAAATTAATATGTCTGATATGTTTTAGCTCGAGTAAGCGAATGTTTTTGTAATGCCATGGTGATCTAAACCCCTAAGTCCGATTTTTCAACCAACAGAAACACTAGGTGGTGCGCCCGTGATTCTGTGAGTTAGACACCACGGCATTATGAAATCACTTGCGCACAGAAGAAAATTAATATGTCTGAT